ATTTAGATATATGTACATATGTATAATGTATGACCGAGTAGTTTTGATACATATGTAAATTATTTGTTTGTGCATAAATATTCGACAAGTCTAACATTACCAGCCCAGTCGTGTATCTCGCTTTTTCCTCTCGATTTTTATTCCCTTTTTTCTTTCTTTTCTTTTCTTCTAAAAGAAAGTTAATAAACTTTGTATATATTTTAGAAAAGAACGAGATAAAAAATGCGGAAAAATTCTTTTCACTCTACAATTACATTATACAAACTATATGATAATTACTCACTTTCTTCTCACTTAAGGATTAAATAGCACGATGCGCGATCAGGCTCTAAATCTACGATAGAATATAATCAATAATGTCTATTTACATATTAGACTGAAATTATCTGGTGCCGCTAAGACTTATCGTCATAATTTATAATTTTGCTACGAAAATTATTACTAAAATAAAAATCAGCTGATCGTTACTCTAGGCTCACACACAAAGTTAATATTGTCGACATTTTACTTTTGAAAAATCTGACAGTAATAAGGCTGATGAGAATTGAGTAATTTCTATTATTTTAAACCTGTTTGATAAAAGAAAGTTTTTCAAAATTTTGTATAACTTGAAAAAACTTTTTAAAGTTTTAATATGCAAAGCGTCTGGTATAATACTTTTTAAGAAAAATGAGAGAAAATTATATCGTCAGCGTTTTCTTATGTTTATAAATTAAAATTTAGTGTTCTGAAAACTTTTTCGAAAAATAAATTATTTCGCTAAATGAATTTGCAACAAGTGAATTTAAAATTCGTTCTTTGCTCTACATGAATGAATTTGATAAACATCTGTGTTTTTTGTAATTCGGTTTTAATTTAGTACTATATGTACATATATTAAATATGTCCAATGTTTGACAATAAAGTACTATACGTGCTGTCAAAAAATTTGTTTGCTGATGCGGTATTATTTTTGCAGTTTATTTTATAAATACAACTGCATGTTAAGATTTCAAAATATACGTGCAACAATTCAGTTTTGATATTTGATGTTCATGATCTATTTTTAAAGTTTTCAATTTTTCCTTCTAGTTTATATTTTTTTTTTTGAAAGCCGATTTAAAATGTAACATTTTCCAACATAAGAAAGCTCGTTCCCACGTACATATATGTATTTAAAACTTAAGTTGACGTTTATATCTACTTAAATAATCAAATACCTAATGGCAATTAATTAATATTCAAAATGGATTATATTAACAAATAAATTAAAGCTACTTGTGATCAAAATTAGAATAGAATTAACCAAAATTAAGTAAATTGTGAAAGATTTCATATAATTGCATCATCAAAAAACAAACTAGAAAACAAATTCGTATTTTCTTTGTTTGTTTTTTTAATAATTAATCATTAATTAAATTTGATTTGTGTAAATAAAATTTGAAAAATAGAAAACAATTGATAACCGAGTATTATTTATGTGTAATCTAATTTTATTATTGTCAGAGAAGAGTTAATGTTTTGAATTAAAAATTTTAATAACCTTAAATATATGATATTCTCTATATATGTATATTACATGTATGTATGTACATATTTTCTTTATATATTTCATGCACACACATTCATATATTACTTAATCCGGGAAAATTTCATTAATAAATGTCTTATGCAGAGGTTTCCCATAAGGTGACAAATAATTTCAGGGATGATTCTTTGATCAATTTTCAGCAAAAAATTGTACGGGTAGGGAGGCGGAGACTGAAGATATATTTGTTTTCGATTTGTTGAAAAAGAAAGATACTAGACTTTTCCTGCCGAAGTAAGAAGCAATTATTTATATGCAGGAAAAATTTGGTACCTTTTTTTCAACAGGCTGTAGCTGGAAAACGAGTGCATTTGAAGCCTCCCCATACAATTTTTACTGGATATTCATCGAAGAATCATCCCTGAAATTATTTCTGACCTCTTGTTGACCACCCTGTGTAATTAACTGAATTGCTAACTTTGATATGTTTTTAAAATATTATTTTCGCATTTAAGGGCGGTTCACATTTTGTTCACAATTTATTATCGGTTCCCTATCCTAAATAATAGGTACTATAATATTTTTGAAACATGTCAATAAAAATTAATGCTTTGTGAGTAAATTGATTAATCCTAAGATTTGACTAAAACTGTTTTGAATTTTTCAAACTTAATAAATGTTGTTCCATGATAGATTGTACTGGAAAAAAAAACATTTCACAAAGGAAACCTTCCACTCCACCACCACAGAGAGCCATTACTTATTTTAGTTCTCTCATATCTCATTGTCCCGGTTTTAATTAAATATTGAAAGAAATCTTCTTCAATACTGCTTAAGGTAATTTTGAAATTATTACAACATTTTACACAAAAAATTAAATTACTTTTTGGTATCAATTTGAATACAAAAGTATCAAAATCTTTGATATTAGAAGAACAAAAGGTACAAATGTCAATATATAAAAATGTCTGATGTGAGGAGCACATAATCGACACAATGTGTGTTGTCTAGTTTGATGAAATTGTTACAGAAGATTATGAGAATGCCTGTTCAACACTTCCTATCAATTTTAAGGAAGTTAGCAAACTTTAATTAACATACCTAGAAAAATTTAAATTTAACTCTTAGTAGAACTTCGTTTTGTGCTGTCTGAATTCTAGTTAGTTTCGGTAACAGCCAGAACTCAAATATCAAATTTCAAGAAATTCGATTAATCCGTTCCCTAGATATGATAAAAAATTTAAAATTGGTCACCAGTTCGGTTTCCGAGCTCTGATCTTTCCAACAAATTTTTAAGTTCATTGTTTTAACACTCCGAATTTAGGTTTTAAACTTGAAATCATAAAAAGGTTTATTATTTCTCGATATATACGCAAAAATGTAAAAGCGGCCCGCAAAAAGGTTCAGTTCCCGAGGTTTGACATATGCCAAAATTGATGAATTCGTTCCATAGCCAAAATAGACTCACATATGAACGCTTTCCTACTATGGACGAGTGCGTTCCCACCGAAAACTCGACATCCAGAATTTGGTGTCGTCACTTAATCTCCCTTATTGTATGCAATGTGGTCGGTAAAAATACTGGTGGTTGTAGAGTTTCCAATGTAATTTCTTTTCAATATTCTGCAGAGATCTATCAAGTTCATTGGAATATGACTTTATTTTAACATTTTGTCTAAATTGTTCCAAAATTTTGAAAAGTTGTCGTCAAGACTGAGATTTATTAGTTGGCTTTGACTTTACCCAAGAACAAGTTGCACAAAATATATATCGAATTACGTTTCAAGAGTAACGCTGCATTCTGCCCATTTAGTAAATAAAAATATAATTTATTTTGCGACGTGCTTTTCACACTTGTTCTTATTTTTAAACACATTTTCTTTAAGTTTTCATTAAAATTTCAAATTACTTAATTATATCTTGCACTTTGGTATGGAGTTTGTAACTACTTGAAGGAGTCGTCTCCGGTATGGACATATGTATATATACTCTTGCTCAGCGTAAAATTCTGCGTTGTTTTAGACATGTCCGTCCGTCCGTCCGATCGCACGAAAAAAACCAATAAAGCAATCGACACCAAACTTTCACAAGTTGTTTCCATACAACTCAAAGAGATTTTTTAAAAATTTAATAAAATATCAAATTTTGTAAAGTTGTGTCCAATTACACTCTACATATGTTCCGAAGTTTTAATCGAATGGCTGCACTGGTTCAGGTGCCATACAACTTCAAAAGCTAATTTTAAATATTTGGAAAAAAATAAAGTTAGATTTCTGAAACTTAACAGTCGTGTGTCCAATTGTTTGTCACATATATTCCTAAAGTTTTGTTGGAATGACTTGACAGATTCGTTTAGCTGCCATACAATTCCAAAAGCAAATTTTAATGATTTGGGAAAATAATAAGAGTTAGATTCATGAAACTTGGCAGTTGTGTGTCTAATTATAAGTCAGACATATTCATGCAGTTTTTATAAAGTGGTTTGTCTGGTTCGAATACTGGGTATATAACAATGAAATCTAATTTTAGATATTTCAAAAACAAATTTTAAACTCAAATTGCCAAGGTGCAGGGTATAATTCGGTCGGTTTATATCGACTGAAACGTTTTTGCTTGTTTTTAATTTTGATGGGTATATTGCGAATACAACTAAAAAACATGGAAATAAATTACTTAAGTTTTTTTATAGAATGAAATACAACTATACCAGGAATAATATCATGTTATTGTTAATTTCTTGGTTAATGTAGTGGATTGGTCACACTCCAATCAATAACAAAGTGTTGTTTTTGATTGAGTGTCTTGTAGCAGATTACCTATTTAAGCCATCTATTTTTTTTAAGTAACTTATCTTAAATCTCGGGTATGACTTTTTACTACCACTTACCCATTTTGTTTGCCGGTCACAACAGAATCAGGATATACTGTAATTCATTCATTTAGTTTTTTATATCACAAAGTTTGCATTCAGTTAACTTTTCGTTTGCACGTCAATTTTGTAATCGAATAAGATGATTTCAAACTTTTGTAAATCCTTAAATATTTATTATTATTAAGTATTTTAAGAATCAGTTGACATGCAATTGACAATTTCGAACACTCGATTAAGCTCAACGAAAAAAAAACTTTTTTCAAACAATCAAAATTATGTTCTGTTAGCCGCATCACTTAAGATAATGGGATAATATTTAAAAAAAAATTTGCTTTTCAGTATAGAATTTAAAGTTTCCAAATTGATTGTCAGAAAATTACACAATTTTTGTAATCAATTTCGAATGTATGTGATTGGATTTATGGGAATTTTCGATAGTTATGTGTTTTAAAAGTTTCAAACTCTGTTTTTTTTGCTTTAGGATGTAACAGGTTTTTAAATTTTAATATGCAACTTCCTGAAGATTATATTAAAGCATATGAAAAAAAGCGTTTTACAATTTTAATAAAATTTGTCTCAATTTTTTTTTTATTGGTACTTTCCGTCTTAAAAATAAATTTTTCTCTTTAAATATTAAAATCAAATTAACATTTTATAAATATTTAATTTTTGTTTTGTAAACTTTCCTTAAATGTATTTTAGATTTACATTCTTATTTTTTATTTTAATATTCTAATTGTAACAATCTAATAAATCTAATTTTATTCTACTGGTCATTATAAAATTGTAAAATAATGTATTATACATATCATAAATTTAAAGTTTTGGCTTATAAAATCTACCTTAAGTTAAAAATTATATGTTGAAAAAATATACATATTTTTTTTTTTTAGTTGTCTTTTGCTATTTCTTCATCATGAATAGCTCTAACCATTTGATATATAACATCACCACAGAATTCTTGCCGACTTTGGCCAACTGAAACAACTTCTTCATGATTTGCTTCTTCATCACTACTGTCATAATCTAAACTGCATTTATTTGTTATTAAACTGAATGCAAATGCTGTAATATCACAATGTTTTGCTGTTAAAACTTCATGTACAGTTGACATACCGACTGCATCAACACCAATTGTTCTTAACATTTTTAATTCGGCAACAGTTTCATAATTTGGTCCACCCAAACATGTATAAACACCTTCGTGTACATCATTTTCACTACCCATATCTTTAATTATACGTTTGCATATTTTTATTAAATCCTTACTGTATGCTTTTGCCATGGGTGGAAAACGTGGTCCAAATCTTGAATCATTAGGTCCTTGTAATGGTGAATTACCAGCAAAACCCATCATATTAATATGATCACGTACAATCATTATATCACCAACTTTAAATTTTGGATTTAAACCACCAGCAGCATTTGTTGCCAATAAATGTGTTACACCAACCAATTTCATTACTCGTACTGGCATTGAACATTTTGCTAACGGATATCCTTCATAATAATGAAAACGTCCTTGCATACACATTACTGGTACACCATTCAAATAACCGAATACCATACGGCCAACATGTCCTTCAACAGTTGAAATTGGAAAATATGGAATTTCTTCATATGGGAATGCATCTGTATTTTCTAAACGATCAGCTAATGAATTTAAACCTGAACCACAAATTATACCAATTTTAGGGCGTAATTGAGTTTTTTCTAATAAAAAGTCAGCAATTTCCTTGATTGTTTCATATGAATAACTAAAAAAAAAAATTAAAAAAAAAAATTGATTAGCTGAAATTTCCAACTTTCGTTTATTTTAATATGTTTAAAGTAAAAACAAAAATTTTTTTAATAAAGATTTGGTAAGGTTGTAATTGTTTGGATTTGATTTGATACATGGAGGATTTCATTTGGAAATTATTACTTCAGCAAAAAGGTTAATAACAAGATGATACTCAATTTATTTCTAATAATTCAAAAATAGGAATTTTTATTTTTTTCAATATCTTAATTATAACTACTGAATCTAATAGCTTCGGCAAAATATTTGAATATTAATTTTAATTTTATAATAATTACTGTTATTTTTATAGTTTTTAATAGGCTTATTAACACAAGTGATAGTTTTTAAACACAATTATTATTCTTAAAAGCAAGAATTTTTAAGTTTTAGTAAAAAAATATTTTTTTAACCTCAAAGTCCTCGTTTTTATTTGGTTCAATTTGTTTATCATAGTGCTAAAGTATCGGATATAAAAATAAACAAAATTTCAAATTAATTTCTAAATAAAAGGCCAGATCGAATTAAGAATGTCAATTATCATTAATTTAATTTAAGTAAAATCTTGATTGGTCTCCATCCATTTTTTCATTTATTGTTAATATGGTTTAACTAAAAATTATTGCAAATAAAATAAATTTTATAAATGTAATGCAATCTGCAATTAAAATTGTAGTATGCTTTCGTTGGCAGCAATTATTTGTTATATTAAAATATTAATTGCAATACTAATTAGCGATAATATAAAAAGAAATGTGATGAAACACTGTGTGAGCAACAAAATGGGAAATTATTGTATTAGACACACTGATTTTTAAAATAAAATAAGGCTATATGTATTTGAAAATGAGACTTATATACAGAATAGCTATATTAATTTAATATTTGCAATATTATGAGAGACATCTTTAACAGACGATTTTAAGAATCGAATTGTGAAACTATGAACTATATGAGATCAAATAATACAGCAGTTCCATTTGATAGTTGAAGATAGCCATATTAATAAATGAGATATTATTTTAAATTTTGAATTTTCGATTATTTTAAATTGAACTTTGTCTTTTTACATGTTATATGAAATTATAAAATACAACATCAACTATAACACTTAATCAAAAAATCGTTAATCATTTAAAATATTTATACATAAATCACATAGCATTTTAAAGGTGGTAATAGTCATACAATACAGTTTTTTTCTTTTTGTGCAAAAATCCTTACGCTGTTACAGAAATTTTATTGTAGATTGTTTCGAAATACATCCTGATGGTCAAAATTTTAATAATTTTTTTTTTTTTTTAATAATTAAATTTCATTTTTACTTTTCATGGAAATCAAACAACAAAATACTAACTGATCATCACTCCTTGGTTTTGTAGAATCATCATTATTTTGATTTGCCCTGTAATTGTATATAAATGATCAGTGTAATATAAAAATTTTTTTCAGAATAAACCAAATAGTTCAAATTTTTAACAAAAGATGTGTATGGACAAGATGTGAATATAATAAAACATTGCTTATTAATTAAAAGCTGTTATATTATGTGACTTATTATTATAGTGAGATTTTTTTTTTATTATATAGGAAACACACTTGATATTGTAAAAAAGTTACAATTTTATAAAATAATGTAGAATGTGATAATGTGACAAAATTACATATACATAACAAAAAACGACATAAAAATCATCAAAACAAAAACAGGGATGAAATTTTCTTGAAAAAAAAAAATAAAAACAATATACATACATATATATATTTCTTATAATTCACCCAGAACTGAATTTTATTGTATATAATAAGGAAATGTTAATATTTATTATATTAGCGATTTTATAATTTATTGAATGATGACGTAAAAAATGACCTCATATGGATTTTATTATTATCTAGCGGAAAAAATAATTTTTATATGTTACTTAAAATTTACCCTAGATTGAATACATTTTACAGAGAAGTTGAAGCTTTAAATAAAAATGTTAAGGTAAGTATAAAATTTAATTTAAAATTCGATTATATTTATTTTATTAAAAGTATTTTTTATTTTAGGTGAAAATAGTAAATATGATGGAAATTTAGAATAAAATCAAAAAAATACTTTGTAACGTTATTCATCGTGTAAAATTATGTATTTGTAATACATGTACCTAACAACGTATGACAATGAAAATTATAATATCAATGAAGACTCTAAGATTATCGTAAAATTCAATTACCAAATTTTACTAAAGTAACATCCTTGCTAACAAAAACACATTTAACAAATGATTTTGTTCACATTTATATACGCTATTTTATGAATGTAGCTTATATACATATATTGTACACGATCTATATTAAAATTAATTTAATTTTTTCTGTAACAATTTAAAAAAATCATTATACTATTTCTTGAAAAAAAGCATATTGTAGAAAAAATTTAATTATACTCAATTATAATAATTATGGCAAGAGTATTAGTAAGCTAATTAATGTCAAAAATAATTTTTTATTTACTTATTTAAAACTAGTATTAGATAATAGCACAATTTTGTTAAAAAAATTTAGTGTAAACGTGTAAAAGCCTCCAAAATTAAAACATTACAATTTGCATTTAACTAAATAAAATCGTGTGTGTAATAACAACAATACATTGCGTAATAAAATTTTCGTGGAACGGTTTTAATAAATTAAATTTCCAATCAATATCAAAATCAATAAATTTAAAAATTTTTTATTCTTTCTTACATTTCTTTTAAACAAAAATGATTTATTTTTAACACTTTGAACCGTTTTTTTTTTTAAGAAGTTCGACTAATAAAATAAGTGAGCTTGATTTAATTTCAAAATTTTGAATTAAAATTTTTGTTCCCTTCTTTTTAAGTACATTAAAAAAACCGAATAAAATTCTTATTAATATGGTAATGGTCTTGTTACCATATAATCCATGACCTCACGCAAGGTAATTGAGTTTGCAACTGTTTCTACTATAGAAACAAAAAAAAAAAGCAATTCAAAATTATAGGTGTATTTTGTAGATATGTACTAGTTATAAAAAAATATATCCATATGTTTTTTTCAATTCATGCCTATATAAAACACTAATCATACAATTGTATACTTTTTATATTTTATCTTTATAGGTATATACATAAGATATTTACAAAAAATTATTGCCGGAATTACGATTGTGCGCAGTCTTTTATATTTTATTTACTTACATTCTTTATATAAATTTAATAAGTCTTGTCTTTCTTTTTCTCCCTAAATACATAATAGTGTTATTTTTAATTTAAAACATGTGTACATTATATTTTTAATTTACATAAATGTAATTTATATAGACATCAGATATATTTTTATATGCAAATATGTAATCAGACATATGTTTCACGTGTTGATTCTTTTATTTTGTTTTTTTTTTTTATAATTGAAAAAGCCGGTTGAAAATTTTATTATATAAGTATAAGAACATTTTATGAATTTATGTATTTGTTTTATGTATGTTTGGAAAATATGTAAAAATGCGATATAATAAACAAATTTGACTATTTTTTAAGTAGAAATTTTATCAAAAAGTAAACTAATAATAATTTTATATAAACTTTTAAGTGAATTTAGGACAATGTTTACTTGAAATTCGTAAAATTTTTACATACACTTTTATTATGAACGAGCGTGTATTGAAACAATCATGACAAGCAAGAAATTTTGAATTATGATTTTATAAATCATTTATTTATATTTAATTGCGTGAATAAATTAAGGACAATTTTAAAGAATATATTCTTTCGTAATATAAAATATTAAATGTGATTTATAGTAGATTGCAGTAGTAATAGAATTTTATATGAATTTCTTAAAGAGTGAAGTACGGAATATTATACAGCCTAAAATAAACTTTTAAATTATTTTACAGTATTAACTGCAACTCTAGGGTCTTTTAAAAAACACACCAGTCTTACGTATTTCTGACTTAAAATAAAAAAAAATGATTTGGTATTGATTGACAACTGCAAAAATTTATCGTTTGTTCTATAGTAGTCAAAAATGTTTGCATGTCTTTAGTAAATGCTGCTATTAAAATTTTATATTTTTAAAAGAGCTGCTTTGCAGTGTCAGCAGTTCTCATTAAACGTACCCACTGCATTCTAGTAGTTAGTCAGAACTTTGTTTTTTTAAAGAACATTCTTTTTGAAAAAGAAAATAACCCTACTATTTGATTAAAATTCTAACATTTAAAATGTTGATCAAAATACATAGATTCATTCTTTCATTCTATTTAACTTTTCAGTGTGATTTCATCTCAAAATTTACCTATCGACACTCTGTAGTATTTATTTTTAAACAATTTTTAAATATAGAAAATTTCAAATATGCTAAACACATAGAACTTACTGTTCAAGTTGCTATTCAACTTTCTTTTTCTCTTTTTAATTTATTCGTAAATAAAAATTTAAATCACAAATAAATATTCCATTCCTTTGTTATATTCGATTTTTTTTTTTATTTTGAAAATCAATAATGAAAATAAATTAACCCAAAATTGCATTATATGTAAATTAAAATCAAAAAAAAAAAAAAACAAATGTGGAAAAATTTATATGTAAATAGAAGTAATTAAATTTTTTTTTATCAATTCAGGCGTTTATTAAATTGAAAAAATTAATTAAAATAAAATAAAAGTAAAAATATATTATAAATAATAAAAAAAAAAATTATTTTCCATTTCAACAATATTATCATTAGCTACCGGAGGGGGTCGGTCACTATGGAAAAAAACAATTTCATGATTAAAATAAAAAAAATAAATTTAATTTTTGTTTTATAATTGATGAAGTTCATCTATAATTTTAAGAAAACAACTTGATGTACTTTATCAGTTTTGGGGTCAGATACTACTATATTGAAATAATTATATTGATATGCAATATTGTTAATCGCGTTTATTGAAAAAATATTCTAAATATTGATGTAAATGAAAAACAAATTTTCATCACGTTATTATTGTGACCGTTCGGTTAAAAGATGCAAAATAATGTAAAATATGCAATTGTTATTTAAATAGGAGTAAGTAAATTGTATATATGTAATTAAATATAGCTATGAAGGGAAATTTTTTGAGATATTGAAATATTCAACTGTTATTTTAAGCACGCAATGTCTTATAGTAGTTTTAAAAATGTATATTAGTAACAAGTAACATATTCATATGGGAATTTAAATGATAAAGAAAATCGTAGGAGAGTGAGTTATTTTCGACTCATTTAGGGCGTGATCGTGTATTTCGCTATCTTAACGCCAAGTGAGAAAAAATTGAGTGAATATTATTTACCTACTTGCGTAATGAAATTTTTCAATGCGAAAAATGTTTTTGTAATGCATATCTCGTTATTTCTAAAATGTGTCCAAAAATCAATCGCTATTTATTGACTAATGTTTTGGAAGGTATGTGTTTTTGAGAAAGAGTGCAAAAATCTGATTGAAAAAATGAGTATCTTGGTGGAAAAATGAAAATTCTGGAATATATCTCACTCTTTCACTTCATTTTTTTTTCATTTTCACTTCTAATGGATATTTTATTTTTCCATTAAGATTACTCCTTTTTTCAGTCATTAGATTTTCGAATTTTTTCTTAAATTATGGACGGAACGTCTCATTTTTAAAAACAAAGTGAATTCATTTTGTACAAATTTTTGAACAAAACGAAATACGCATTAGGAAAAAATTCTTCTAACTCGAAAATTATACATTATAAAAATATATGGTAGTTATTCACTTTCTCCTCAATTGGTGAGTAAAATAGCGAGATAAACAATCTGTTTCTATATATAATAATATTGCTATGTTATAGCATTTTAAATTTGAACTTTTTTGATCGTATAATTAAATAAATGAATGTATAAGCTCTTGAGAATATATTTATGTAACGTAGTATATTAGAATATTAGTAATTTTGAAAATATTTTAAATAATTGTTGGGGTTAAAAAAGTCTATTGGTTTGTTTCTAAATAGTTTTTAAAATTTGTTTACTTCATTTCTTTAAGTAAGCAGTTAAAAAATGTATAACTGAATTTAGAATCAAAGTAAAATTAAAAATTTCGAATATTTCAATAAATTCACCCCATAATACGTAAAACTAAAAAAAAAAACATTTCACAAAAACAATTCCTCATTATTTGAAACAAATATCAAAAATATAAAAAATTATTTGTGTTAGAAATTAAAGTTTATAATTATGTAGTTTGAACTTTATATTTTAAACAAGATAATGAATTTAATTCAAATACGTATATTTATAACATATGTAAATAATCATAATTAACAAATGATGAAATATTATAATAAAAGATTAAGCAAAAAAAAACGTCAAATTTTTAGTATTAATTTGATTTTTTATAAAATTCATTGTCAAGGTTAATGTTAATATTAAATAAATTATTGAAATTAATAAGCATATACACATACTTAATCCTACAAAATTATACCTACATACATTTATACTGATATACCTTGCTTATTTATTAAAATACGTTTATATATTAATCTTACGAAAAAAGATATTATGCATATAAGAATCTATTTTTATAATTTTATAATGAACTTTCTTACATACTCAAATATTATGTTAATGATAAACAGAGTGTTGGTAGTGTTTGTGAAAATTACGCGTTTCAAAAATATTTTTCTCTCGCCGATCGAAAATTTCTACGTATTTGTAATTAGTATATTTATTTTTTTTTGAGTAAATACAAAGAGAGTCGTTTGCCGACCCGAAATAATTGGCAAAATTGGCATGGACGCGGTTAAAAACACTTCTTAATATAAAGTGTATATATAATTGATACATTTTTATTTCTATTTCTATTTTTTATTACTATTTTTTCGTATTTAAAAATATTAAATAATGAAAACCTAAATAAAAAACAAAAAAGATTAATATTTACAAAATGATTTTAAATTGAATCGATTATTATTTTCAATTAAGTCAATTAAAATCGATTGAATAAGAAGAGAAAAGAAAAATTAAAATAATAAAGTTTTTTTGAAATCGCATCGCGCAATTTTAACATATATTTGAGTTATGGCACTATTCCGTATCTTTAAAATTTTTACAATGTTACACATTTTGAGTTAGGTAGAATGCGTTTTTGCAACACAGAGATTGTGCATTTGTACTTTAGATTGAGCATGTGTTAGTTTATATTTAAATTGACATTACGCTAATTTTTGAATTTTTATTTTAACAACATTATTTATAATGTCAATTTAAAAAGAAATGCCAACAGTTTAAAGGCGGTTTCAAAACTTTGTGTTTGAAAATACAAAAAGAATATTGCCATTTTCTCGAATAGAATTTATTATAAAAAAATTAATTCAATACTTTGTGATATTTGATTCTGCTTTATTGGTTTAAAAATTTTTGTCTCAATAAAAGTAACTACAAATTCTAATCTAAAATTGCATTTTAAAATTAAAACACAAAATTAAAATAGATTTTTACGAATATTTTGTAAAATTTTATTATAAGTTATGTATAGGTCTTTAAGTTTAACAATGTACAACTTGTAATAAAATTAAAGAGATACAAAGAATAGAAATTATCGATATTTTGATGTATCGATTTAATTTTTTTTTAAACTTTCCTTATTCTAGATAATCTAAGAAATAATTTATACATATTTCACATGTGATTAAAATTTTGTTAGTATTTGTACACGTGAAAATGAAATAATTGTATGTAGTTATATGGGTATCTGGAAAATTCATAAACTCATATCTATACTAACAAAAAGGTGAACTTTGATAAATTTCGCAAAATTTAAAATCGTTTATTTGTTTTGTTTTTATAATAACGGTATACTTATTTATGATAATAAATATTATGATAATAAATATTATGATTATAAATATTATTTACATAAGTATGTGGTGCTTTTTATTAAATATTTAATGGGTAGAATTTTTTTCAAAGCTTATCATAGATTTGCGATATTTAGCTATAATCATATCAAAATTTGTGTGTTAATGAATGTTAGAATTACATTTTCGCACTTCAAAATATGGGTGTTGACTGTTGATTAAATTTTTATAATACAGCAATCCCTCCTATAACGTAATTTTTGGGACCGAAACATTTTTACGTTAAGTGAAATTACATTATAGGAGGTCCAACTAAACTAATATGACTAATATGTATGTATCTACTTGATATTTGCCTAAACTAGTAAGTTGTCTGTTGGTAAAGAAAGAAATTTAAATGAAAAAAAAAAGATTATTGCATATTAAATTATTTTAAAATTACGTAAAACGAGGTAAAAATTACATTAAGTGAAAATAGGTAG